TAATGAATCTCACAAATCAAAGTTAGAAGGAATCTTGCAATCAAAACCAGATCCACTAATGTCCAAGAATGCAAGTGAAGATGCAACGGGATTTTGCGATTCTAAGAGAGCGGTGCAATCTTTCTTAAGAATATCATACGGATTTTTCCCTACTTTGATCTCGTCATTACGTGTTTTATCGCAATTGACGTGTGTTAGAGGGATTGTCAAGATAACCGGCTCAGGTATGTTAAGGCTACCCCTTCTTTCTTTTGGCGTGATCTATACGACATAAACGAGACGAGCAAATGCACAATTTCCATACATGACTCTATTCATAGAAATACTAGAGATGCTTATGTTCTTGATTCCCCATGTGTGATATTATTGTTCTATCATCTGTTCATGGGTCTCAAAAAATACGTAAGTTGATAAAGTTTATTTCATGATATTAATCAAAGGCATAATGGTCTCATGACACTCAGAAAGATTTTATTGACGTACTTCTCATGCATTGCATTCATTAACATGTACATTGACCCATGATCAGATGGCGTTATATATGCGTATATATATATATATATATATATGTATGTATGTGTATGTATGTATATGGGATTTGGGAAAAGGTTACGGCATTATATACGCACCACTACCTGATCAGCTAGTATACGTTGATGATTTACCCACATGACCGAGATGATATGATGGGATGCCCTCAGAGGCTTGATGATGTTATAAACGCATATACCCATGCATAGTATACATTTATACGCATATGCATGACATTATAATATCAAATGATTCACAAAGCTATTCAGATATACATGTTGAGTCGTTTACTCCATGTTTCTCTCATGTCTATTGTTTACTAATTTTCATTCCTTATATACTCGGTAAATTATTTGTACTGACGTCCCTTTTGCCTGGGGATGCTGTGTTTCATGCCCGCAAGTCCCGATAGACAGGTTGAGAGTCCTCTAAGTAGGCTATCAGCTCAGCAGAAGATGTTGGTGCACTCCATTCGCTCTGGAGTTGCTTAATTTGTTAGTATTATTTAGACATGTATTGAATGGTATGTCGGGGCCCCGTCCTGGCCTTATGACATTTATGTACTCTTAGAGACTTGTAGACATATGTCATGTATATGAAAGATTGTATGGCCTTGTCGGTCTATGTTCAGTGTACGAGTGATTATTTTGGCCTTATAGGCACGTACGTCATATGTATAAGTCAGTATATCAGGTTGGGTCATTTTATGTCCAGTGTTCTCTCATATTTTATTCTTCTTACCTCATGCGGCTCTTCTGGCCCGCTTACCTTTGATGATGTAATAAGAAAGATACGTTACGTTGGTACTCGGTTGAGTAAGGTACCGGGTGCCCGTCGCGGCCCATCGATTTGGGTCATGACAGTTCGGGTCGGTCGTTCCATTATATTTAGGAATCTCGGACATGCAGAACTTCTTGGGGATCGTCTTAGGAGCCACGCTCGGGGAAAAAGTTTTTTGCACGAACTTTTTGGAGTCCAGACCCTTCAATATCGGTGGTGCCCCGGGGATTTGATCGACCCTGGAGTTGTAAGTTTCCACCTTCTTCATTTGCCTCGATCTTCTTTTCCCCCGACTCAATCCGTTTAGTCAGTTCCTTGAGCATCTTCATGATTACAGGATTGGTCTTTGATTCTTACATGTTTGGTCTCCTTGAGACCAATTCGACCCTGTGAACAACTTCCTGGGACGGCTCGGGCTCGATCCTACTCAGTGGGTGATTTTGGTTTTGGGGTTGGGCTATCGCTGCCTGTTGAGCCTGCAGCATTTCGAAGATCACCCACGGGTTGATCCCGCCATGTGTGCTTTGACCGGCTGATCGAACATCCCTACGGACGCTGCCCTTTGGATCGACGACCAAATTTGCATTGATGGCTACATGTGAACTGACGTCGATTGGATCTACAGCCAGAACTCCATCAAGATCGACCGAGGGTACGTCGATCCCTGGTGCTATGTTATCACTTTCGCCGTGGTGGCCGAAATCATTGTTAAAGTGGAGGGGTGCTGACTAAGAATTTGACAGTTTGATCGTGGAATCAAAGATAATCCAAAGAAAAAAGTGTGTTATGAAAGTTTGTACCAAGAAACCACTATTATCCTTAGCCCCATGGTGGGCGCTAAACTGCTTACCCTCTAAATCGGATAACAATTGAATTTGTACGCGATTTTAAGGATACGTGATATAACTTGATACAGATTAAGAAAGATTAATATTGAAATTAATGATAAGAAAATAAATGCAAACAACACAAATTGAAAAGCCTTGGCCTTTGAGTTTGATCACCCTCGAGTCAAGAAAATGCCTCAACTGATGTTAGAACAGAATAACAAGATGATAAGAGCTAGAAATAACAGTGTAGTGCTTTTTACTGCATATTACATTGTGGTTTACAAATGATCAAACCCCCTTTATATAGTAGGGGTATCCTACTCTTGATAGAATTCTATACAAGGTAAAAAATCTCATGATCTGCTAATTAATCGGCCTCTGCTTGATAAGTGCGAGATTTCTATCGTGATCTCCAACCGATCGCGGCCTTCTGTTATTAGGCTCGGCAAATTTCCCTCTATCTTGTTCGGTCTCGATATTGTTCGGTCCCGGGGTCACGAGCTCGACGATCTAATTTCGCGCCTCGGTTCGATATAACCCGAGCTTGACTTGGCCCGCCATGTTTCAGCCTCGATTAGTCACACAATAGGTGAACCCGATTTCGACCGTATACAATGTCATACTTTTGTAACTAAAAATATCATGTTGTATTCATTTAAGATCGTAAATTTTTAAATTTTTACTTTCTTTTTAAATTCTGTATCTTATCAATCACCGTCATAAAAGAGGGAATAACATTTATTTACAGGAGTATACATCTATTAATTTGAAGGGACACTCCCAACTCCCAGCGGTGTGCTAATGTCTAATATGTTAGAAACATTGAATTCTGCCATTGTATCTCTAACCATAGTGAACATTATTGCTCACCATCCTCAACATTTGTGACATTTAATCCTCCTTATGTCAGCTTTTATGTTCCTAACTCCTAAAACCATGGCTCAAACAAACATGACATATAGCATGCGCATATATTTGGAGAATGACTTATGCCACCTTGTAAGATTTATAAATCAATTTTCTTGGAGAAAAAGCAGAAAAGAAAATAAACAAATGGAGAAGTGCATAAAATATGTAAGTGAATTCTACGCACCCAAGGCATGACCTAATAGTCAATAAAATGGGTGAATTGTATAAATATGACACTTCAATGCCACTATTACTTTTTGACCTTGGTAAAAAAGTCTTGGGAAAATAGTATTTGCCAGAATTTCTTCACAATCACCAAATATTTTGACATGGTTGATAATAGGTGAATTTGACTATAATCACACCATTAAATAATCACCTTCTTGTGTAGTTTTAATGCTAAAAGTGATAACAAAATGCTCTTATTAGTGCTTTTCATGATTTGTAGGTGATATATGTATAAAGACGGCTAAGGAGCAGTTTTGGAGTCAAAAGTGATGAAAAAGAGGCCAACTGTGAAATTTCCCAAGTGACCCGTGCAAAAAACAGGCCGAAGATTCAGAGAACTGGATCCACGGCGGTTCCACCGCGATCGCGGCAGAACCGCGGTGGGAAGCAGCTGCAGAAGATTGAGATTCCGCGAGGGTGTTTGGCCGCGGTTCTACCGCGACCGCGGCAGAACCGCGGCAGGCGCAGTAAACTTCAGGGACCAAAGTGTCAATTACGGGATTTTTAGACCTAAACCCTATTTAAAACATTAGACTTCGCCCAAGAGAGGCATGTATTGATTTTTTAGGTTTCTTAGCAAGGAAAAACATTGTGAGAAAATACTCAAAACATCTTTCTTCTTTTCTTTTGATTTTATGATGAATTCAAGCTTAGTTTATTTTCCCATAGCCATGAGTTAAATTCCTTGTCTAAAGCTTTGATGGAACCTATTGGGTGATGAACTTCTTGTTTATGTGAATACAAATTGCTAGTTTAATCTTTATTTGTTCAACTTCGTGTTCGTTGTAGTTAATTGACAGGATCCTCAATTAGCTGTGCCTATTTAGTGTGCATAACTTGGAAAAGAGTGCATATTTAGGGTATTGTTGAACAACACCACTCCTAAATTATTAGAGGAATCTATAATTGCGGGTTTAAAGGCGGGATTAGGAATAACGAAGCCTTGGGTGCAATCTAAATTGAATTGTGCTAAATAAAGCAAGCTAGTGTATCTCGGGAGAGTGCAATAGTAGATTACTGTAATTACTCGGGAGAGAGTTGCGGTAAGATTAGCGTTCATGATTGATAGAGATGTGTGGGTAAATTTGTATGAGCATAAACAGAAGGGATTCCATCAATAGGGGAAATCATTGCCTTAGCTTTTTCTCATAATTGTTTACAACCCTTTTTTTTATTTAGTTACAGCTATTTAGTTATTTGCAAGCTAGTTATTAAAGAACACTCAACTGAGAATTTGAATATTTGAGAAGCTGGTTCTGAAGACTTAGTAGGTCTGAAGATAGCGGTTGATAGGTTAACTCTCTGTGGATTCGACCCTGGGCGTAATACTCGGGTTATATTTGCAACGTCCGCAGAGTCTTTTTTTATAAGGCATAATTGGGCGTGATCAATGGTGATCATTAGGATTTGCTAAAAAATATGGCAATGGTTAGAATTTTTTATATGGTAATCATCAGAATTTGCCACAAAAACATGACAATCGCCAGAAAATTTTATATAGTGAACACCAGGATTTTGAAAAAACATGCAATCGCCAAAAAGTTTCATATGGTAATCAGCAGAATTTGTAAAAATATGGCAATCGCCAAAAATTTCATGTGGTGATTACCAGAATTTGCTAGAAAATATGACATTCGTTACTAGTTTTTTTTATAATGGAAAAATTATGTTAGCGTACTTGGAAATTCTTACATTGACTTTAACATTCTGGCAGTGTACTTCAAAATTCTAACAGTGACTTTAAAATTTTGGAAGCGGGGCTATCTTACTAATGGGATACATAATGGGATTCATTCTATTTATCACCCCCTCATGCCCTCCAGGTTCTACTTATAAAGTTTGTTGTTATTATTGTGACGGCAAAATAGTTGAGTTGCAAAAGAATAGTGGAGAAGTGCTCAAGGAAAAGGGAGACGCTCTCATGGGAATGGGAAGATGGCAAATGGTTTGGCTTTACCGCAAAGTAGGAATAAAAGGAAGGCTTAGAAACAGAGGGATATATAATTCAATCGCGACCCCACATTTCCAACGGCTCAAATCCAACGTCTCTCTCTTTTGCAGCTCCCTTACACCAAACTCTGATACTACACATATGCACAGGACAGCAGCTTACTGTTTTATTATTAATGAAACACTTAATAGACAACAACAATAACACCACATCTACCCCATTCCCTCTCTTTTCGTCTTCTCTAAGATTTTTTTTTTCTTCCCCCACGAAGCTCCCATCTTTTGTTTGTTTGCTCTACACTTCACATATTTATTACTCCTATTCTTTCTTAGCCACATTCTCTCTCTTTCCTTTGCCATTCATTTTTCCATGTGGGAAGTTCTAATGTTTGGAAGTATTTTGATAAACTTAACAAGATGATGAAAGACGAGAAATAATCGGCGAGACGTGCGGTTTGTGCTAATTGACCGTTTTTGACGTTTTAATTACCCAAAAAAACAGCTTCTTTGGTCTTGCATTCAATTTATTACTAGGAATTTTTTGCAAAACTGTTATTCTTGAAAATGAATTATCGTTTTTTGTTATTCTTGAATGTTTCTATGGTTAGTTAATTTCTTCTTCTGCTTCATTGAAAGACGAGACTCACATTTCTTCAGTCATTTTCAGTTTTTCAACCAGATGGGTTGTTTCCAATTTTTAATAGGGGAACATTGATATGTTCAAAGTTTTCTTCTTTTTGTCAACAAACAATAATAGCAACATTCTTAATTGAGCAAAAAGGGTCAGAAGAAATGGCATCTTCTCAGGTAGAAATAGCCTCTTCTTCTTCTCCCTTTGGTCATGTCCTCAGAGATCGTAATAGGCGTGATCGTTGCAGCCACAGAGATTCAACCAATGCTGCTTTCCAAAAGAATCTCAAAGATTTGGTCCACACCCACATCCATTCTTGCATTTCTACTAGTCAACCCACCCCCTCCTCTGTTGATAGTCATGGACCTGGTCATGTTGACTATGCTGATTTATGGGTTCACAAACCACAATGGGATAACAATGAGAACATCAATTCCACTAATAATAATAAATGGGAAAAAGCTAGAGAAATGGTGTTTTCTTCTAGGACGACGAAACAGAGAGAGGCGGACGCGGACGCGAATGCTTCGTCGCCTCAAGGCAGTGCCGTGGAAGTTCCTAATAATGGTGGCGTTTCGACCCTTGTACGCCGTTGGAGGGATTTTGAGACGGTTTCAAAGAGCGTGAATTTGGGGAACAATTCACCTCAGAAAGGTTGTGATGAGACATGTGATGAATCTTCGGTAGATGGACGATCTGAGACTCCGGCCATGAGCGTGAATGGCGAATCATCAGGAGATTGGGAACCGTTTGATAAAACCACGGTTGTGAATGAAAGACATTCAGATATTAAAGAAAGTGAAAAGCCAAGAGTTGCTGATATAATTAGGAAATTGGCGAGTAGTAATGGTGAAGAGAATCATGAGAGTGAGCACAATGGTAATAGTGCTGCCCTTGCTTGTGGTGGTGAATCGTTGCCTCGAATCAAAACATCATTTGATCATTCAGAGCAATTACAACAACAACAGAGGAACTTTTTCCCGGTTCTGCACTCGCCCCGTATCATCAGAGGTCGCCAGGCATTGAGCGATTTGCTATTGCAAATGGAGCGTGACAGATACCGGGAACTAGAAAGTTTTAAGGAGCGTAAGGCCGTTTCCAAGTTCCAACAAAGAGGTCGTATTCAGGTTTGTATTTTGCTCTCTAATCCTTCATTCAAGTGTAATTTTACTGATGAATTTGCTTTCAATATCATTTACCATTTGCCGATTAATCTTGTAAATCCAACTTCCTGAATAGGCTTTGCTTAAAGTTAGATTCCTGCGTCGTGGCACTGGCGCCAGAGATGATCGATCAACCAAAGGCACATCGTCCGAATCAAATAGAATGTCTCAATCTGCAATCACGCATATCAGGTAAAGGTCCTTATTTAACTCCTTTTGATCCATGTCTTTGTAGATATCAAATGGCCATTGCAAAGAATTAATCTGCAGTTACCTTATGGAGAATGTTTTTGATCATCATGTTCTCAACTGCTTAAAATATGAAATATTTAGAGCAAAATTGCACCATTGTTCTCAGTTGAACAGTTTTTTTCTTCTTTTTTGACATGCTAAGGCAAAGAAGATTATAGTGTGTTAACACAGTCTAGGGAAAATCCAATCTTGGGAACCTATTGCTGTTGTTGACAGTTTATCCGTCGTTTAGTTGCCATTTGCTCAATTGTGTATGCCTTCTCTATATATATGAGAGTATGGTGTCAGCATAGAATACCTTTTGGGATGTATGAGAAACTAAACAATTGAAGCTGAAAACACGTTAATGAGACTGGTAGACTTTTCCTTCAATCAGCTTTTCTTGTTTTGTTCTTTCCATTTTCACAATGAAAAGTATTTAAGAATCAGGGCAATTTCCTTATGAGTTATGTGGTTTATAGGGAATCAATTATCCATTTGGGTTCTACCTTATTGAAACAAAGTTATGGTCTTTCTATTCAAAATGTACCTTAATATGGAATACATTGAAATTGAAATAAGTTAATTCATTTCAGGAAAAGGTTCAATACAGGAAGTCAGAATGGTGTAGCTGAATCAAGAAGCTTCTCAAGAGAAGCGGCTGATAACACCCAGGAAAGCCGGAATTCCACACTGAATCAGCAAAGAGTACAGAGCTGCCATAGAGAACTGGCTGATAACAACGCTGTAAAAGTTGGAAGTGAATTAGCATCTTATAAGCGGAGAGAAGCGAATCAGCAGGAAATGCAGCCTGGTGTAGCTGACTCAAGAAGCACCTCTATAGCAGTGGAAAATAACAGTCCAAAATCAGAATATGCGTCCACATCTGCACGAGAGAATCATTCACAAGAGCCTAGTGAGCCGATAACTCTCTGCACAAAGGTGGTAGATAACTCACAAGTTGGAAAAGTTTTGCCCTCCAATCAACAGCGAGAAGAGAAACTAAGCCCCCGAAGGGTTACAACAAACGTGAAAGTTACAAGCTCATCAAATCCCCAGAAAGAAATGCCATTTCATACCCGACATTCAGACAGTTCTATTAGTCCGAATCATAATGAGGTAGACCGCAGTCATCAAGCAGTTAGCCCCAAATTACTACATTGTACTTCACAACTACGGAGCTCAGATATTTCCCATGACCAAGCTAGCTGGGGAAATGCAAGCTGTGAAGCTAGCCATGACAAGTCACTGGAATGTTTAGAGACACCAAAACCTCCCAAGTATAGTGAACAAAGTGTCCATAGAGAAGAACATGATGCAAATAACTTGCAGCATGCAGGAACTAGTAATGAGTGGTCCAGTGAGAGCACCAAACGTCAAAGTGACTGGGAAGAGGAAGCGACCAACCAGAATCTAGTGGACAGTGATTGTGGTTGGGTAAGTGATTATTCTCACACACCAAGTGGATGGGATGAACTACAGTCTAACTACGAGCAGCAGTCAGAATCCAACCAAGACTGGGTAAGTGATATTTCACGTCCACGTAAAGAGTGGGAAGGTCTTAGACAAGCAAGATACCAAGAGATGCTTGATCCTTTCCAAGACAATAATCATGATATTCGCCAACTTCTTAACAGGTATTACAATTCATGCATCTTATCTGATACTAATCCTATATATTTATTATAGTCATTTGTTGCACCAGATGGATATATGTTTTACTTTGGCATTTATGTACAATTCGAAGACATTTGCCTGCCCACACTAATGAAGCAGAAAACATTCAAGGGAGAATCAATAGCTAACTATTAGAATATGATTTCCACTAAGAGTATCAGACAGAAATGAACCATTGTTACAACATGAAGGCTGTCACTAGAGATCAGACAGAGATCACAAAAATTAAGGCAATAACAAAAGTGAATCCACCTCAGATCATAATTTTCACTTAGAGTCGGGCAAACAGGACCGAAGAATGGATCATTTCTGTACTTGTCCGTGTTGGTTTGGAGATAATCTCTGAAAATACAACTTAACCTCGTAGAAGAATGTGACACGTGTTTGATCGAGATGAGATGAGATTCAAGAAAACAGACTTTGCAATTTGGAAAAGGAGGTCAAAGTTTAGATTTTAATAGTCCCCTGCTTGCCAATGAAAGTGATACTCGAGTGAATATGGAGTCTGTATATCTCCTTTAGCTGTCCTGTGATATAATACACAGCTTCTGTAGTAGAAGCATAGTCCGCGATCTGCACTTACTTTTTCTCTTCATAAATGTGCAGAAAAAGTGTTTCAATCTTTCTTAATAGCGGTTTGAGAGAGAAAATAGATCGACTAATGGCATCTCGCTCACAACAACTACCTAATGCAATGAGTGGCCAGCTTCAGGAAGAAGTAGGAGCACGTGTACCTAAAGAAAAGGAGAAGGAAGAGGAAGTGGTATCACATAATGAAACACGAGGGGGAGAGGCCGAAGATGATGAGGAAGAAGAAGACTCGGGTTATGAGGATGACTTTGAAGATGACAATAGTCCAATTAGACAACATTACCTCGAACCTGAGGAATTAGTTGATCAGAAGAAAGCTTCACATACTTTACAGTCATGGAGCAATAATCAAGACCGGGGTGTCAGTGATGACTCGTATCACCTTCCATCTAATTCTTTACCACAATCTCAATCATCCAATATTTACTCCCATCACAATCAACAATGCTCCTCCTCCACTATACACACTTCAATTGTAAGTTCTTTTTCCCCTATTTTTACAATGACTTGCCAGATATTCATGAGTTTGAGACTAATAACAACATGGCATTAACAGGAAATGGAACTAATATATGAATTGCGAGGACATATGGAGCAACTCCACCAAGAGATATTTGAAATACGAAGATCGATAAACAGCTGCGTGAACATGCAAATGAAATTACAACATTCCATTAAGCAGGAGGTTGCAGCTGCAATAACTCAGTCAGGTGAGTTGGTTTACTGAAATCTGAATATAAGATGCTTACTATGCTCCATCATCGTTCATAAAACGACTTGATTGTTTTTGTGTTTTCTAACTTCGTAAAACCCTTTATAACCTATAAGAAAAACGTGATAGAAGAAATAGCTAAATTGTGAAGTCGTTTTACTTCTTATATTCTTTACCTTATTGAACTTTTTTTCGGGGAACAAGCTTACCTTGTTGAACTATTTGTTGCATCATACCATAGTTTTCTTCCTCCTCCTCTCAATCTTTGCACACTTTTGAATAACTACCAATTAAGTTCCAAGATCTGGCTTCACGTATAGAGCTTCATATAACTGTGATCTTTTTCTTTTCTATTTTTCCTCCCTGTTTTGGTTATTTACAGAAAGGGAGTAGAGAGTAACATTTTTGTAATGCAGGTCCAATGATTGGGAGTAATTCAGATAAGAAGGGTGCAAACAGAGCAAATTGTCGTATTTGCTATGAGGCGCAAGTTGATTCTCTCCTGTACAGGTACTTGGCATTGATTGCAGCAAGAATTTTCACTTAGGCAATTCAAAATATACACAAGAAACAAGTAATATTAACCTCTTGGGTATCATTATCCATTCTTTTCAGGTGTGGGCATATGTGCACCTGTTTCAGGTGTGCCCATGAATTGCTTTGGGGCACCGGAAAATGTCCAATATGTGAAACCCCCATAATAGATGTTGTCCGTGCATATATACACTCGTGACGCACAGGTTAACCGGATTTTGTTCTAGAAGACTGCTGATTCCTAACTTTTTGTTCAATGAGAGATGAGCCAAAGGATGATTTTTTTCATTTTCTTTTCCTTTTTTCTTTTTAATTGAATCTTGTCAGCCATGGATTTTTTTTTTATGGCTAATTTATTGTCTATAACAGGTTTAGAGATAGTGGATGAATGCTCACTCTCCTCTGGTTTTCACTAACCATCCTTTGTATACAATAGGAGAAAAGAAAAGAAAGTTCTTTCTATGATATTAGTACTGTGTCTTTCAAATTCTTTGTATTAACAATTCAAATGAAAATTGGAGAGTTCCTTACATGTAAATAAGCTACAAGCAGCTTAGCATTTCTTCTCATTAGTTTCTTATAATCAGAATGAAAATGCATAAAAGCAGTACAAGGGTAGCTTAAAACTCTTTCAGAAGCATTAGATTCAGTGTAGATTTGATCAGCTAGAGTTGGTGATGCTGTAGAATAGAGCCAAAGCACTTGGCAATGAAATTTCAAGGATTGAGATCTGGAATAAAGAAGCCCTTCCTTTCCAGGCATATTCACGCACATAGCTGAATAAGGCGTATGTTAAGAGTACTTTGAGACAGTGATTGCTTTCTGTCTAATAATTATTTGCTTGCTAATGCATTTGACACTATCAAGATGACATGCAAGAGTGAACTTGGCACGTAAAACTCACCATTGGATTTGTTGACTTTCTTGTAGCGCGGGTCAATTCACCGTTACACGTGATAGCAATTAGCAAACTGTTGAAAAATCCGGGGGAAAACAGATTCACTAGATAAATATGAAAAATTACTTAAGAGTTGGGTTGGAAAAATAATATTCCCAACCTTGTCCAAAATAAGGAAGTATGCTTCTATTAAAGTCATCTTTATAAGCATATGTTCTGAACATGTAGGTACTTGTCAACAAAAGAGTTCTACACATGAAGGTGGACCACAGCAGTTTGAGAATCAGTAATACAAGAGCTTTAGCAAGAAAACCAATTAAGGTGATGCCTTTCACACCAGAAAACATAAATTTTAAATCCACGATATCCAACTTGTACGTACTTACAATAAAGCGAAAAAAACGAGTTTCCATGGTAGCGTGGAAGAGAGAGAACTGGCCAGCAGTGCTTTTAAAAGCGAAAAGCATAAAAAAGGTGACAATGTCTATGAGGCTTGAAGCGAAAAGCAAGAAGTGAAGTGCACACTTTACTGAAGCGAAGCACAATAAAAAAATACCAAACATATATCAATTTAGTACTACAGTAGTCAAATTGCAATTAATATAACTAAATTTCAGCACCCACTGTACAGTAATGCGTACATTAGTCCAACTCCTCAAAGTTGAGATTCAAAGAACCGACCACTTCCCATTTGGATCATTGTGCACATCGTGTTTGAAGCGCATGACTTCATCTGTGAAGCAATAACCCTTTGCTTCGCATCGCTTTGAGTAACGAAGCAATGACTTTTAACAACATTGATGAGCATAAGATCCATCATTTTCCTTGAGCCGCCATTCTCTTACGTATTTCAAATGCTGTATTGAATATTCCAAGCGTTGGCTGGTTGCATACAAAACACTTCTTGTTCTTTGCATGGTGCTGTTAACCACAAAAACCCAAAAAAGTAAGATTACCTTGCAATTTGTACAAAGGAGAAAAATAGAAGTGAAATAAGTCATAGCTGTGTAATATGATCAATTCACATAAGAGAAAAATATAAGTGAAAGAATCCTGCTTTATCCTAAGGGGGAATCTCATATCTCATCGCCTTGTAGAGCAGGTCTCTACAAGTACTACTTGGGATCGGCCATGAGAAGTACATTTCAAATATTTAACAATTCATATAAGTCATATCTGTGCGCCTGAGGTGACAGTAGCTCAAATTGATTTCAGTAGTCTCTACTGTTTGTCGAAAGCCCAACCAATGCAAGGGGCAGTTTCTACTTAAGGAAAATGGTAAATTCCAATACTTGCTGGAGAAGCAACTCTTGCCTATTTCAGTTGGTACTTTTACATCCTAGTGTCAATCTCTCTTGACCATAGTTGCACCGTATATAAAAAAACAATAAGGAAGAAAACCAAAAAAGGGCACATTGAGGGGCAATATGCACCAAGAAAGTCCACTCTACTGCATGCCTTTCCTTTTAAGGTGGTTGCGGTTGGGAAGGGGGAGGGTGTTAAACTCTATTGCCACCTCAAAAAAGAGGAAAAGGTTAAAAACAAGAGGAATGGAAAAGGTACATGAATGAGTTGGTGTTCACAGATTCTATAATGAGATCAAACAAACAAGAGAAAAAGGTCAATGAAATTACCTTTAATGCACAATGCTCACAGAAGTAGTGCTTGCATTTGGTCACAACGGGATCAACAAAAGGCTCCCTGCAGATAAAGCAAGCAAATGGTAAGGCGTCATCATCATCTTCATCACTCTTCTCAGCATCCTCATCATCCTCGTCAAGCATCCCCATAGCCAATTTTCGTTTCCTCTCTTTCTCAGCTTCATCCCACTCTTTTTCAATCTGCCACCCAGACTTATAATCTCCCCGGTCATGCATAAATTTGCAAGAGTCCCCGTATCCACAATATCCCGTCTCTTTGTAGTCCTTACAAATATCCGGCTGATAGTCGAACCTTGCTGAAACTCTGATGTGGGCAGAAGCCCTGAGAGGACCATGCGCTCCACCAGCTTTCTCACTAGAAATCGTATGTTCTCTTCTCAAACCAGCTTTGTAATCAGTATATTGGTTCATCCCCTTGTACAATTTCTCATCCCCACCAGTCTTGCTTTTTCCTTTCAAAGCCTCCTCTGCCTGCTTCAAAGCTCTCTCCCGAATGGCCCGGGCATCCTTAGAGAACTCGGTCTCAGTTTCTAAAGTGGCTGTTGCTCTACTATCATTTTGAACTTGAATTTCTTTAGAGGACTCAAAATGAAAAATTGGAGCTTTTGAATCCACATTGGATTCTGTAGCCTTGTTACACTTTGAACCTCCAGTAGAAAACCGTAGCTTGTTATCCGCAATGGCTGGTTTTTTCTTGGTATATATGACTGAACTTTCACCGTCTGCATCGTCATTCTCCCCCTCCTCAACTGTAGGACGCTTTCTGATATTTTTGCCCTTGGATGGTTTTTTGAAAAAATTGCATACTGCAAATAGAAGAAAGGCAACAAAAGTATAATAAGAAAGAGAAAATGAACCAGTAAATTGACAAGAGAATGCAGAACAAGCTAGAATAGAGAAGGAACTTAGGATTAACATTGCTAGCACAGGATACATGCATACCCGCAAAACCAGGGATACTTACAAAACCAGTACTTATTGGAACATCAGTTACACAGCCATGTCCAATGACAAGCTCAAGATGATCACTTGTGAGACCAAACATATGGACTTGAAAAGTTTTTTCTTTTCATTGCAACTAGAGATGAGCTTAAGCGGAATGACATGGTCCGTGAGAATTCATATAGCTGAATTCCGACTTGCTTAAGATTGAGACATAGTTGTTGTTTTTGCAACTAGAGAAACAAGTTGGATGAGTTATGTTTCCATAGCATCTTTTTTATAGAGCCTTGTATAATTTAATATCATGTGTTTGACGAGATGTGTAGGGCTAAAGATAATCAGAATAGTAATACTTGTTGAGCTTAGTTGTAATTCCAAATTACTAATCTCGTAGTAATACCCTACAACGTTAAATTGTGATATCAGCGCTCTAGGAGTACACTTCACTGCTTCACATCAATGTTGTAATTTGGTAGATATTGTGTGCTTCGGTCCAAAAATAACTGTTACACAGAAGCTTGATACCATAAAATTTTAACATTGTCCGAGCGGCCAAAAGTCTAATTTTTTTAAAGCAATTAACTATTAGCAGAGAAAAGAATTTATGAGAGAACGCAAATAACCACAAATAAATTGGTTGGTGATTAAGGAAGAGGAGGCTACCGGAACTTGAAGAAGGTGGAGCTGTTGGCGGCTGCTCAGTTTCAGCTTCGGCAGGGTTCGATTCAAACGCTGGAGTATTTGAATTCTCCATCTGACAACACAAATCATTGGAATCATATTAAATATCGAGTGTGTTACTAGCAAAATAGACTGCAAAGCTAAATTAGGGCTAGAAATTTGAACCACAAAAAAAGAGAAATAGGGCGATAAAGTTTACAAAGAGAGTGACTTACAGTTACAGAGATCGCTGACGGGATGGCAGTCGGTGGGGGCAGACTTGCGGCGCAACGCGCAGCAGCACGACGGTGATGGGGAGGTCCGGAGGTGGATTGGCGGTGGTGAACTGGCGGAGGGGCTGCGGCAGCAGGGGCTGGGTTCTTTTGTTTAACGTTCAGATATACAAGACAGTTTGTAAAAAGGAAAAAGATAAAAGAGGGTGTTTGGCTAAACTAGCCGGTTAAACTAGCTTATAAGCAATTTTGGACTTATCTACGCGTTTGATAAAATTAAAAGTATAAGTCAAAAATAAGCTAAAAGTCATATGACCAGCTTATAAATTTTTAGCTTACTAGTCAGAGGATACACGCGTACCATATCAATGAATATAAATTTCTTTAAAATTATATCTATACCATATTAAAAGCACGAAGGTCCTTAACAAAATATCGTTCGCCTTTTTTACCCTTAAAAAATAAAGTTCATATTAGACAAAATAGTAATTCAACTTAATTTCCTAATATTTAGAACTTAGTTCCTTAATCGATGTATGAAGTCCTAATATTTAAGAGTTCAAAATCAATTAAGATTTTACCTAATTTAAATTATTTATAATCATTCTATATTAAGTTCTTAATATGTAAGATTTTTTACATCAACTTAAATTCTATTATTAAACGCTTTAACAAACTCATCTAACACATGCACGTTCAATGATGGAAAGAAATATAGGGGAACATCATGGAAACTATTTGGGCTAATTGATATTTTTTACTTTAAACCTAATTTAGATGTGAATTACCTTATATGAATTATTTGTCTATTTTAGCAACGTGACATTATTAATTTTTTCATGTTACAATTCAATATTTAAAATTTGGGATGCACTATATTAAGAATTTGAATCAATAAAAATTTAATGAGTTACTATAATAATAGAAATAAATAATTAAGTCTTTGAATTAATTATTAGCAAAAAACATAATCCTATTATTTTTCAAATGCACCCATCTAAGTACAATTAATTTTGTAGTTAACATATATCAACAGAAATATACATTCCATGTTAGATATAATGATAACTGCCATTAATATTCTAATGTTGGATACTTCAATTGGTTTTCTAAATTTTNGTTATATAATATAGCAT